ATGAAAGTGCGAATGTAACATATAAATAAAAGAATGAAACATATATAAGAAGATAAATGAGAAATATTACTCTCTTATACAATTGAAACCAATTTGTTAAGAACAAATATTTAAGAAAGACTTTCATACATTATTTGTAGTATACAATGCTGCTTGATCTGATAAAATATTCTCTTGTACAGAAAGGAACTAATTATTACTACATAATGCATTTTTACAAAAGGTCTAGTTTACACGGTTGGTTTAATTAGGTTAATTGAATGATGGTAAAGCACTCGAGGGCAACTGCCTAAAGGAAGGAATGCCTTCTTGGAGGACTTTCTAAGGGAAAACTGGCTCGTATACACGTTAGACATGGAGAAAAACGATGAATACGTCCATGCAACCAGCCCGTTCGCGGGATTCAAACCTCGGACCAAACTACCAATGCTCAGTGATTTTACCTCTCGGCCGCTGGTGGGCCAGTTTGGCCTCCCAGTTCACAGGAGGTAGTATTCCATTTATGCGTCCTTAAATTAAATAAACTAAAAATTGAATCAAGATCGGTCGTTATAAGTAGTGCTATCTGCTCAGCAAAATGGAATGAAATAGGGGGGGGGGAAACAAGTTATGTAACAATTCAAAGAAAAGGAGAATCAGAAGCAAAATGATCACTAAAAGTTGACAGATTGTAATGAAACTGGACAGTTTCCCAGAAATTTGACCAAACAGTTGAAATTTTTCGTATAGTTTAGAGGCATTTATTTTTATATTTAATCTCATTGACAAGAAACATAACGCATTTTTCAAGAATTTTTGTCTTGTTCGATTAGGTTAATATATTAACGCAAAGAAATTTGACAGATATCTGCCTCTAGTGAGGGACGCCTTTGTGGAGGTCTTTTTAAGGGAATGTGGGTTGTATTCACGTTACGCAGGATAAAAGCCACGCAAAATCCCATGCAACCAACCTGTTCGTCGTGGAAGCGGAGTCGAACTACCAGTATTTAGGGTTCTTACCGCTCGGCTGCTGATAGGCTCTCGAATTCGGGTCTGAAACAATATCTGCTTAAAGGCGACTGAATTACAGTGCATTGCCATCATATTTGCGTTCTATGAAGGGATAATCGCTTCGTTGAATCTACTGAAGTATACAAGTGTGTGAAAAAGACTACTGAATAGTTCGCCCTGACCCCGATTTCTTATTAACGGGCTGGCAGCATGGGATTTTCGCTGTTTTCCCCATGTGTAGTGTGAACTGAACTATTTTCTCGTAAGAAACTCTTCATAAAAGCACTTCTCTCTTTAGGCCCTTGTCGTGTTTGTGGTAATTATTCTGTCTGAAGTAAAACTTTCGCATTAAAACCAACACTGAATTTAGGTTAAGTTTCGTGAAATTTCAGTGATGAAAATTGATGTGCTTCTCTTGCATTTTTTAACATTTTAGCTATTCTTGACTTAAAATTACCCTTTTGTGTTGGAAGTTCTTAATTAAATAGTTTTAACAGAAGAAGCAAATGGTCTTGAAGTCACATTCGAGGTAAAAAGTTAAACATCCATATACTATGTTCAGTTATTCAGAAAGAAATGTCTATCCCTTATTGCTCCAGTAAAATAGAGCGGAAAATTATTTTGCTTCACCTAATACATACGAGGTAACAATCGAATGATTAAACGATGATTTAAATGCTTTAAATAGAATTTGATTTATTTTACAAATAGAAAAGTATGTTTGATATTTTTGCCTTTATACAGTTAAAATTTTAGCCTAGAATGGGTAGTTCCTTACCTTGAAAACAGGGGTTTGTTTATTAAAAGAAGAAAGCAATTGACAAAGCTGGATCTTATTCGTATTGATGTTTTTCGCACATTAAATTTATGAAATTCTTGTTTTTCTTTGCAAGCAAATCTTCAGCATGGGTCAATTATTTATCTAATGAAATTATTCTTATTGAAAATTATTCTTATTTTCAATAAGAATAATTTTTCAATATTTCAATATTTTTTCATCTTTTCCTCATAATTTTCCTTAATTTAACTCTTATCGTCATTCACGAGTTACATTCGAGAAGCTTGTCAAAAGTTTGAAGTAAAATTATTTGTGAGAAATTTAATGTGTTTATTTACCTTTGTTATTTTGACCTACTACTGTAAGAATATTGATTGTAAAGCTACCCAGCTTTTGCCTTCAATAAATTTAGAGTACCTAAATTAATAAAAAAATTTCACTTCCATTTTCTTCCTCAATTCTTCATAATTTTTAACTATAAAAAGCAGTCTAGTATACCGGCATGTAGGCTAGATAGACAGACAGACCATTGTGTTGATGGCGGACATAGCTTAGAGGAATATGGCCGTTGCAGTTATTTGTTATTCTACGCTCATTGTGCAAAGGGCAGAAACTGAAACTTTCTTTTACTTAGTATTTCAATACTATTTGTTATTACCAACTTTCACTTCAAGTTCTATTTGTTCCTGCATGACTGATTTTGGAATCACTGAGAGTTGCGTGAAACATATTCATTTTACATTGTGTAAATATATTGCTTGCAATTGTTACTGAAAAATTCAATGGTGATATTTTGTCTTCAGTTAATGAAAATCTTGAATGTCGGTTACGGTAAATTTGCAGCTATCAATATAAAAGTTTCCTTTCTCTTTCAGAAAAATCAAGTGTCTCATCAAGGAAGATTTACGTATCCTCATTCAAAAGTGTTCGAATAATAAATGATAATATGCTAGGTTTTTAACTTTGAATATTTTACTTAAGGCAAAACAATAAAAGTAATCTCTAAATTTATACTCGCCATAAACATGATTCATTTCCTGGTTGACGGAATGATTTCATTGAAACTGATAATTTGCAATTTAGATTTTATTTCCTGACAAAACAAACGACTCTCGACTACGAAACTCTACAACTTTTTTAGGCTTCTCCCATGTAATGATATGAATCTACAATAAACATAACTATAAATGACTGTACCCAAGGTGCATTTTTCATTTGATTCGTAGAGATAAGATGCCCCACCAGTGGCCGAGTGGAGCTTTGAATGCCGGGAGTTCGACCCGGAATCGATTCCAGGCAAACTTATTGGCTGCATGATTGCTTTTCGTGGTTTTTCCAGTCAGTGTGTAATGTGAATACGAACCAGTTTTGTTCAACAAGTTCCCTATGAATGCATCCTTCCTCTTAGATAGAGCCCACCAGCGGCGAAGCGGTAAAGTCTCTGAACACTGGTGGTTCAGTTCAAGGTTTGAAAACCGGTAAACGGGCTGGCTGCCTGGGCGTTTTCGTGGTTTTTCCCAATATGTAACGGGGCTCACCAGCAGCCGAGCGGTAAAGTCGCTGAACACTGGTAGTTCGGTCCGATGTTCGAATCCTGCGAACGGGCTGGCTGCATGGGCGTTTTCATGGTTTTCTCCATGTGTAACGTGTATACGAGTCAGTTTCCCTTAGAAAGCCCTCCACGACGACATCCCTCCCCTTAGGGAGACAGCCTTAGTGTGCTTTGCCATAATTAAATAAACCAAACCAAACCCAATATGTAACGTGTATACCAGTTTCCGTTAGAAAGTCCTCCACGGAAGTATCCATCCCCTTAGGCAGATAGTCCTCGAGTGCTTTGCCATAATCAAGTAAGCCTTTTAGAGTGATGTCCCTTGCGTGCTTTACCATATTCGAATAGCCTTATCTCTAATAGATAAGCCCAGTTCTTTTACATCAAAAAAGACACTACACATATTAAAATTGCGTCTAGCATTCCAAGTATTTTATTAAAAAGTTAATTTAAAATTAGGAAATATAGCAACCTTATTTTGATGTAGATTTTGTATAAAACTTTATCGATATGGACGGCGGTCAGACTCGTGTCCCTCCAGTTCAAGAGCAAAGAAAATTCTACTACCGACTGCCATATTCGAGAAATTTCTTTCAGTTTTGTTCGTGTGGCAGAACTGTTTTCCTCCTAAAGATGAGGGACTTGGATCTGATCATTCTCGAAATCAGCTGAGTTCTATTCAAAATGTACGGCAAAATAATGCTGCAGTTTTGCCTAATTTTAAATTTTACTATGGTCTGTTTCGCTTTCAATGTGATTTTTTTTTTTTTTTTTTTTTTTTTTTTGCTGTTAGCAGATAATTCTTATTTATTATAATTTAATATTCATATCTACCTGTAATTTATCAAATACTAATAAATAAAATAGTTGATTATGTCTAAAATTCATGAATTATTTTAGAAGGGCTCATTATTTTAACTACTAAAACTTTTTTTCAAAATTGTTTTAAAATTGAGCTGTCAAAGTTTTACATTCTGAAAAATTCCACTTAATAGACATAGAAAAGATGTTGTAAAAAGCTTTGTGCAGTGTCACTGATAGACCTTTATTCGACTCTTAAAAAAAAACTGGTACCTCATTAAGCGTGATGGAAGTTTGAAATCTACAGTAACAAGAATAAGTGCAGGAATAAGATAACCTTGCAGGAAAAAAATTGCCTGCCTCAGTGAATCAGGATAAGAGCTAAAATAAACATTATTCTACGTTCAGAGAAAATATTATATATTATATAAAAATGCTATGATGATTAAAGTTGCTATAAAATGATCGTAGTACATTTATGTCAATGTGAAAACTCATAGATTTTTATAATAATGTTTAAACAGCTTTGAATGCCGCTGAAATGATTTTGAAATGGATTCATCGCAGTAGTAGAATGAAATCTAATTTCTTAGTTTTAACATATTCTTATACCCTCCATTGAAAATACAGAAATTGCTTAAATTCGTCTTTTTTTTACTTCTTTTAACTGTGGTACTCGCAATATTTTTTCATCCTACTGCGTTTAGACCTGTTAATGTATAGTTCTTAGTAGAATAAATGTTAGTGTGTGGTATACTAAGAGCTCTGAGATATTAGCTTCACCTGTTAGTATACAGTAGAAATGATTTTTGGATGGTAAAAAATTATAATACATCATGTATTGAAACATTTTTTAATGCTTAGTATGTTTTCTTTCAGAATGTAGCTCTCGATGGACGGTATTCGTCAACAAGTCGAGGCGTCATTATCTCGTACGCGCGACATAATTATGGAAGACCGCTACCGGCGTCTCCATTATGAGACCGGTACTCCCCAGTACTGGGCGCAGACACCCCCAAAAGCCGTAGCACTGGCACGCTTCAAGCGGCATCTCCCTGCCATCCCGAAGAAGAAAAACAAGGAATCTAGCAAGAAACCTGACCACATGGATATTCCAGCGTATGCTAAGCATTATAAGGATAAATATGGATCAGTATCTGCACATTCGACAAGTGCAATCTACGGTGCTCTGAGGGCTCCTCATTACCATGCTATCTATGGCCCTTCGGATACGTGGTACGCTTCTGTGAGAAGTCTCAATAGAGGATGCCACCGAGATGTGCACCCTGTTGAAGCATATGAATGGAGAGAAACATTGTATGAGGATGTTACCAAAGAAGGTAAAGATTGCTTTGAGTTATTTTTTTAACATAGCCTATTTTTGAAATTGGGTTTTCTTGAATGTAGGAAGGAACTTCTGGTTATCTGTTATTATAGCCCAATTCTAGGAGAATTTATGATCTTTTAAGTGCAAAATAATTTCTTAAAAATGCACGATAATTATTTTTCTGTTGTGTTATATTCATTTGTAGGCTACGCTAACGGTGTAACGAAAAATACAATAATTAGTTTAAATTCAAAACCTTAAATTTTGAAACTAAAAAATCTTCATGGCTTTAGTTTTCGAGGTTTTCCTTATGTGTAACATCTATAGTTACTGATTGTTTTATATAACCTCTAAATTTGAAAAAAAAAATTCTTGGTCTCCCAAAGTGAAAAATCATGAAGATATACCAAAAATATTTCATTTAGAAAGCCTGAAGCGTATTGTTCGTTTATTCTTTGAAGTTTTATTATAAAAAAGAATTTTATATGCTAAATTATTAAAAAATTTATCTGTGGGAAAAACAGAATAAAATAGCCTAAATTATTTGTGATGGTTTTGATTTCATATCACTGAATTAAAAATAGATTGAAGAAATTCACTGCATATTCTTTACTTCAATTCCTTCAATTATATTTCTGATTTTTAAATTATAGCGTGCTATTTTATTTATTTATTTATTTATTTTTTGATGGATTCACTTTCTGTACCTCCGATTGCATTGTCACTTTAATTAAATCGATGTATTTTGTTTCGCGACAATATGCTTCTTTTATTTCCTTCATATATTTTTATTAATTTTATGATTGGTCTTTTATGAATTTATTATTTCATATTGCAATTACATTTATTTTGTCATTAACGTTTATTCTGAATTAACCATATGACACATAACTACCTTCTGAAAGCTGAGAATGAGCCTATTTGTTTAAATTGTAATGTTTGTCTGTCTGTCCGTCATATTTTAATTCAGCGTCCAAGTTTTAATAATCTTCGTCAGAAATATTTTAATAGCTGTGACTTACCTCTCGACCGTTTAATCGGAAGAGAGGTCAATTGTCATTTATTTTACTACTTAAGAGAGACTGGCTTTTATTACCTGATCTAATCTGATTTGAAATTTGTGTATTGTATTTTTATGTTTAACACTTGTGTACTTTTACCTTGTTTTTCTATGCGTCCATCCTCTGAATTTGGAACATTTGTCCACGTTCCTGTTCTGTTTATTAATAATTTGTTTTTAATACATCAAATTAGATCATACTACCTCGCGTTAGGCGCACTGTAATCATCTTTGGTTTTGCGCCAATAATCTGACTGACTCACTCAATCTCTGAATTAACTTTATTAATTGGTTCATATTTTATTCTTTTTTTCTTATTCAGAATCTTCCAAAAAAATGTTTAACCGTAGTGTTGAATGCTCGTGTTTTATATTCGTCTAATATCTAAACTGTTCAAAAGTTCATACTAACTATCAAATTTGGTATTCTTAGTTATGTGCAACACAAAGCAACAAACTTGTCAACTAGTCTTCAAACTGAAGCCTTTCATGTATAAATTCTGTCTGTTTTGCAATTGAAGTGTTATTTCTTGACTGAAAATAACCAGAAGTAAAGAAAGTATGGTTTTCTGTACCTGCATCGTTTGTGATCATTCAGAATGCATGAACAAGAAAGTTATTTCGTCATTATCAGTTAAAAAGCTTTGAAATAAGAAGAGTAAAAATAAATACACTTTTTTTGTATGAAAAATGCGCTTAGCAGAATAAATAAATAGCAAGATATGCTAATTAAAAAACTTTTGTTGGTACTTATTAATACAGTCGTTCGGCCAACTAGCGCGATTCAGAGCCAGTTATGGATGGCCGTGTCCTGTGTTTGGTTTATGTGATAACGCAAAGCCTCGAGGGCTATCTGCCTAAGAAGGATGCTATTAGGCAGATAGCGTGGAGGACCTACTTCGTGGGGAATTTTCTAAAGGAAACTAGCTTGTATACACGTTACACATGAGGAAAACCACGAAAAGGCTCATACAGCCAGCCCATTAGCGGAATTCGAACCTCGGACATAATTACCAGTGTTTAGCCACTTTACCGCTCAATCGCTGATGGGCTTCGTGTCCTTCAGAATTCCGCAGTAACGATTGGCAACCATTGCCGAAATTTCTGCCAACGATCGATGGGATAATACGTAAGTACCCTTTCGTTTAATCAGGGTATTTTTCTGATCTTGATAATCCCGCAAGCGTGTTATCTTTCAGTCATAAATATCAGAGAAAAAATTTAGTAAATTTATAATTGTTGTAAATTAAGGAATTTCACTTAAGCTGTTTACAAAGAATCCTAGGTTAGTGTTTAACATTTCAAGAATTATAAAATAAAGTAAGATCGATAATATGTGTATTATAAAAAGCAGGTTCTGTATTGCATCTTCTCTTTATTTTTTAAGTTAAATAAAAATTATCTGTAGTGTATGGCAAACTCCCTTTCATCACATGTACTATATGTATGTTTTCTTATACGATGGAAACACACAAAATTTAGATTTAAGTTACTTCAGATTTCGCTTTAATTAGAAACATTTATTAAAAAAGTTTCCAATTTAATTTAAGCTTCTCTGAATTTATCTATATCCAGTCATTGTTTGGTTACACACAGTAAGCTTTGTAGCATAAAGCAATGAAATTTAGTTGTGCATAACAGTATATAGAATATAACTGTACTTCATGTCACGTTTCATACTTCCATTACTTTACTCTAAAATAAAATCCAGTTCATTATTTAATAAGAAATTTGTGTTGACTTAAAATCCAATATATTACTGGCGTGGTTTAATGCACAAGCAAATTCTAGTTAATACAGTACCTAACCAGACTAAAAAATAAACATTATCATTTACAGATAATGTGCCGATAATTATCAAATTTGCTTTACTTTAGACAACTTTCATAAATTTGATTTTCCTTCTACAGACATTTACATCTCCCAAATTACAGTTCTTGATGCGAGCTGTGCACTCTTTAATAATGTTAATAAACTAGTTGATGACTGCCAAAGTACGTATTTCTTTATAATTTTAAAGTGCTTATTATTAATTACATTGAACGTTATTATACAGCTGCTAATACTCCTATGCAGATTTTGTCAAGTTGATAAGAAAGTAGTTTAATTCTCAATGAAATAGCCATAATTCAGATTATAGGTACATTGTTTATGCTGATTCAAGAATTCGTTAATTCATTCTGTTTTCAATGGTAAAAATGTAAAACTTTGAAACTGTGTGTTCTACTAATACAATGCATATTTTAAAAAGCTTAGTTAAAACTGCAGTACCTTAAGTTACGAGTACTGTACAGTTAAAATTCGTTAAATGTTGTTAAAACGTAAAGGTACTTTGGTATTATCGCAACCACGTTGGCGCAATTTGACGATTTTTTGAAGAAGAAAAAGATTGGTAATTTGGTACTCTTCTCTTATGTGCTCATGGACGCATGTAAGTATGTATGTATGTACGTATGTACGTACGTATGTGTGTGTACTGATATATTCGCATACATATATACATTTCTGAACCCGTCCTGATAACAGAAGAATACCGGTAGTTTCAAATCGAAGAAAGCTGTTTCATATCATGGCATGTTATTAGGTACATATTTTAACTTAAGTTCGATATTTATCCCGAAAACCTATTTATAAAACTAACAAACGGTATGTCCCGCAAGTAATTATAACAGTCTATTACAGTCTTATGTGTGAGTACTGATATATTCGTATACATATATACATTTCTGAATCCGTCCTGATAACAGAAGAATACCGGTAGTTTCAAATCGAAGAAAGCTGTTTCATATCATGCATGTTATTAGGTACATATTTTAACTTAAGTTCGATATTTATTCCCAAAACCTATTTATAAAACTAACAAACGGTATCTCCCGCAGGTAATTATAACAATCTATTACAGTCTTACCGGCCATTTCTAACTCTTCCAAACAAAATTTAACACTGCAACCAATTCTTTAATATAAACTATGTTGGACTAACTGTAGCAACGAGGGTGCCCTCTGGTGACTACCCAGAGAAATACTTCAGTAAAGGCCAAGTTATGAATCTGTTAAGTTGTATCAAACTCTTGCTCTGAAATAATCTTAAAATTAAATGTGAAGTCCGTGTGTAACTTAAACCTGTTAATAAATTATTGTTACACTATAAAGGATTCTTTTATGACCCCATCCAATAAAACCCCTCTTACAACACTCATTAATTCTTCGCTCCAGCAATGTATAAATCTGACTGCTGAAGTAAATAGCAAGCGACTGTTTTCGAACCAATTATAGCTTCGAATGCCGACGTGTTCGTCACGCTTTTTCACGTTGCATATCCAAAAAAGGTTCTTTTCCAAAAATACAATCATTAAATGCGAATCTGAGCATTCCTGCCTTTGTGACAAAATATTACATTCGTGCACACATTTCACAGAACTTTTTTTCGTTTTCAGGCAAATCCCACAAGCGCATATTTCAAAATTCAGCGCATATTTCAAAAATATCGCAGTTTGCCTTTAGAGCTTCTAAATACAAGCAAAACAGCATGTACGAAAAGGGCAACGTTGCTTATTCAAATTTACAGTTAGCTATATGGTTACCAGAAAAATTGTTGTGCGCATTAATGCCACAGTTTGGCGGCTTCTACCAAGGTGATTGTGATAATACCAAAGTAACCAAAGCAAGTTGATCGTTGTAACAGCAAAACGCTTGGTATTTACGCCCATGTATTTACAAAATGATTGACACTTCACGGACGCAATGAATAATATTTATATCGAAGAATTATTGTCAAGCTCCTGGCTTTCATTACAACCATGTTTAAACATTACGTAAATACAGGTTACCGCTTTCTAATCAAAAAAATAAAAACTGGATATTTACAAAATGATGGGAATACTTTTAGTGATTTAGTATAGTATAGAATTTGTAACTTAGATATAAAGTTGTATTCACAGAGCTTGAAAGACAAGCCTCTAAATTAATAAGCAGGTACATTTTACATGGTACTATAAGGCATCATCTCTCTAGATAATGCCTTCTAGTACCATGTAAAATTTACATATACCCATATAAGACACCCGTAAGTCTTATACGGGTGGCTGCACAGAACGCTCAACCTAATAAGTCTTCATATATTAAAAGCGTTAATAGAGTATAGTAAATGCAAGTTAATTATAAATTAGTTAGCATATGATTCATCAAACTCGTCTGTCACTGGATAGTATAAAAGTTACACAATGCGTATTGCATAATATGCTGGAATAACACATACACTTTCATTGTAATGGCCACTGATAGCATACTTAAGTCTGAGTGATTATTTTCTTGTGAAACTCTATCAAAAATACCTAAGTTTTGTTCCATTTTTGCCACGTGATATTCAGAAACTAAATAAAACACACATTCAAAAATTGAATAAATGAATAAATAAAATAAAGCATCTATCGGTAGGAGTTGTGCAAATTAGGTCACCAACTGGGTTATCGAGAGGGCATTTATCGAATTGAATGTAATTTCCTCTCTGAATGTACTTCAGTTGATGTTATCTGAAAACATTAAACATAGTTATATAATTTTTCTTTCAAGTTTTATAAATATGACTCTAAGAACTTTCCATCTGAGTTCATAATAAATTCCCGAAAATATTCTCATTTCTAAGCATCCACCATATAAGATTAGCTAGAAAAAGCTTTCTACTTATCTATCTCGTGTTTACAATCTCTGTTTCAGAAATCTTAGGTAAAGATTTATTTCAAATGTATATGTATTAACAGACTCTGTAATTACACAGTACATGTAATTTATGTTTATTATAAGCATGTTGTCAAAATACTACTTTATTTATGTGTTCATGTTTCTTTTTAAGTGTTCACTGTCCCTCCTCCAGTGGAGATGTTGCCTCGACCTCCTTGCTTGTGCATGGTGCGACGGCGGCCAACTCATGATGGATCTCATATTAAACCTTCAAGACATCAGCCTCGATGCAAGTACTGCACTAGTGCCTTTACAGCCAATGGATCTGCCAATGGTGGTCCGTTAGCGTCAAAACGCCCGCCCATCAATTCTGAGAAAGTGAAACCCACAGGCATTCCGGATGAGAACATTGAAGTGAAGCCCGAATCGACCAGTAGAATGTCTGGCTATAAAAAATGTATAGCAGGAACTTCTAAGTTCAAGAATTCTGTATTCAACAAAAATATATCCAATAGTGATTCCGGTAAGATCTCTAGAAAATCCATACTGGAATGTGATGTGACAGCATATGATCTGATAAAGAAAGTTACCGCGATTCCATCTGTTACTGAAATAGATGATAGTGATATAGATGACAACCTTAGTGATAACGCAATTGCTAAAATGAACCACGTCAGATGGCTTAAACTTCAGAAAAAATCGAAGTTCTCTTCTTCATCCAGTGGATCGTCCAGACTGATTGCGAACAAAAAACACTCCTCTAAATTTAAGAAGTCTCAAAGCGAAAACTGCATATACAGCGAATCACATAGCGTTTTGGTTGGCGGACAAAGAATTTTCACTGAAAACAATAGATCTAAATCCCCAGATTTAACTATTACTTGTGATTCCTCAAATGATATAGAGGATGATAACGTCGAATTTGAGGGAGCCCGATGGCGAAAGATGTCAGTTTCGGAGGAATCGGTCTGTATACCAGATCCCGATTACGACTTCAGTGATGACAGTGATGATGCTACTGTAATTAACCATAAACAGAGAGATCCTAGGTTTACATACTCACCACCTCCTACACGGAAGTCTTCTGATGAATCATATAACGGCCTAGGATATAATTCTCGAGAAATATCAAAGTCAATGTCCTCTTTGCTTTCAGATGACACCTACATTCCCAGTATTAATGTAAATAATTCTAATAAACATTCTTTACCGCCTTTAAGTATGTCAGATCTCACAGACTGTGATAACGATAGGGATTTTATGCAAAGCCTAGAGGACATAGAAAGATATAATTCATATAAAGAATGTTCTCCCGAGTCTGAAAATGACATCTCCTCTAATCCGGAGCTCACTTTGAAGCAGGACTCTAAGTACGAATCTTCAAGTGACTGTAGCAGTAGCGGAGGTACATTGTCTTCAGATTATCCTACGTGGACTTCTTCTTCATCAAATGAGTTAAAATCTATTCTAAAAAAGAAAAAAAGGCGTGACAATGCAATTCAAGAACTCGAGGATGCTACCAGAGTCTTTCGAAATACAACCGAATTGAAAGAAGCGCAGAGGAAGAAACAAGTTCAGTTTCAATCTGGTTGCGAGGAAACAAAGTTTGGTGACGATAGCTCGAAAGACGACGTAGTTCTTGAATCGAACAGCCATTACGAACACGAAAAGGAAACTGATGTAAACGATCAAGATATTGAAAATACTGCTGTGATAAACTGCGATACTTACGAAACTTTGGATGATGCCGCTGCAGAAGATTCCAGTGAGGATGTTTCTAGAGAAAATTATTTAACTTCAAATGAAAGTAAGTACTTATTCACTTAAACTGAAATTTTATATTTATGTATCGTTATGCATTTTAGTCCGAAATTTTATATTTATGCATTGTTATGGATTTTAATTTCTAAAGGGTTGTCTTAATAATAATTTAAAGTTTATAAAGAAGGTATTGTAAGTGTTTTTATGATTATAATTCCTTTCCTGTGTAGCTTTAATTGCAGATTTCAAAGAATTTTTGTTTAATTCCAGTATTGGCACACATTTTACTGTTATTTTAAATACCTTTTAAAGCATTAGAAGAAGCCTGTTCGAGTTTCGCTTCATATTTAGTATTTTTTAGGCATTCTTCTGTTATCAGAACCAAATTTAGAAATGTATTGTATGTTTATGTGTATGTATGTGCATGTATATGTCTATGTATGTATGTATGTGCATGTATATGTGTATGTATGTATGTGCAAGTACATGTGTATGTATGCATGTGCATGTAAGTGCGTATATGCACACACATACCTACGTACATATATACATGCATGCACACACACATTAATCCATGCAGACATACATACATACATAAATTTTTTAACCCGGCCTCGGTAACAGAATAGTACCTTTTTTATATAAATAATGACAAGTGGTTTCACACACATAGGAGATCGATATAATACTTCCCAAATACAACAAAGATGCGAAAGGCGCATACTAATATTTCTTGTAAGTTTTCTAAGCACGTTCATTTGTACCCCTTGTTTAGATGAAATTCTTCTTTCGGAATAATCAATAGTTTCACTAAAAGTTTTATTTTATTTATTGTTTATTGGTAAAAAGGAAAATGGCAGACAATTTCGCTATAATTTTAAATTTGTTATCAAGAAGATGCGTGTTAATATTACAAGATGTAGCCGCTTGCAGTGATGCCGTGGTTGGTGAGGCTATAAAGGCTTCGAATTGTTAGTGTTTTGTCTCTTTCCCTTGTGGAATCGACGGCCGATTCCTACCAACATTCTCGCGCTAAGACTGAAAAGACTGATGGGTTCGGACATAATCAGGGCCCACCAGCGGCCGAGCGGTAAAGTCGCTGAACACTGGTAGTTCGATCCGAGGTTCGAATCCCGCGAACGGGCTGGCTGCATGGGCGTTTTCGTGGTTTTCCCCATGTGTAACGTGTATACGAGCCAGTTTCCCTTAGAAAGTCCTCCACGAAGGCATCCCTCCCCTTAGGCAGATAGCCCTCGAGGCTTTGCCATAATCACGCATTATTATTATTATCGGACATAATCTCCAGAAGGTGTCCCCCGATAACATCGCGACAAAAACATCGCGAACGAAAACGTCGTGGAGAAAACAACGCAAGGCGAAAACGTCGTGCTACAAAACATCGTGGGAGAAAACATCGCAGTTCTAAAACATCACGGTACAAAACATCGACGTCGAAAATAAAGCTGTTCAAAAACTTCGCAGTTTGAAAACATCGTCGTCGAAAATATCGTGGTAAAAAATAAAGTATCTATAAATCATCGCATGACGATAAAATCGCAGACATGCTTTTTTTCAAGTTTTAATAATTGTAAATGGATATTTCCGTAATGAATTGTGAGCCCAAGATGTAAAGAAAGATAATTTTTTACTTTCACAGTTTTTTATTAACTAATAAATTTTTGCTGAAAAAGTAAGAAGGCAACTTAAAGCATAGAAAATTAAATGCAACTTACAGATTATACTTTTCATGAAAATTTACCAATAAAAACTTTATAAAAATGATTTATTAACGGCCTTTGTTAGTTAACTATGTCGGTTTAAAATTGTATTAAGTTGCATTCATTTTCTATGCTTAAGTTTCCTTCTTATTTTCTCAGCAAAAATTTATTAGCTAATAAAAAATATGAAAGTAAAAATTATCCTTCTTTCCATCTTGCGCTCACAAATCATTATGGGAATATCCATTTACAGTTATTAAAGCCTGAAAATATATGTCTGCGATGTTATTGTCATGCGATGATTTGTAGATACTTTATTTTTTACCGCGATATTTTCGACGACGAGGTTTTGTACCACCATGTTTTAGAACTGCGGTGTTTTCTCCCACGATGTTTTGTAGCACGACGTTTACGCCTTGCGTTGTTTTCTTCGCGACGTTTTCGTACGCGATGTTTTCGGCTGTAACCTCTCCAGAAGGCCTTCCTGGCTAATTCTCTGGCTTCTGTATACAAGATCTTGTGTTAGGTCCATTCTGTTTATTAATAATTTTCTTCCTATGATTAAGTTTTCTTAAACGCAGAACGTTTTTTGTTCCGCAAGTTGCGAAATTTATATCAGAGCAACAGTTAAGCTGAACTAAATGCATGAGCCATTCTATTTAGGTTCAGTGACTTTCACTGATGGTTATACAGTTATGAAAGCATCTAAGCGGTATAACTGAAATATAGCTAGCTAGGTTTTTTTTTTTTTTTTTTTTTTTTTTTTTTTTTTCGATTTAGTATTTTTGGTACATTCAATATGGTTTAGAATTATGGTTTAGAATCTGAAAGAAGTGGCTTAATTTTATATCTCATTCAGAATTTTAAATATTTTCCAGTATCGGCATGTATTTTATTTCTATTTGAACTTTTTAATAAAAACGCGAACTAAATGTCATATGAAAGACCTCAGAATTCCATTGAATAGTTCCACTGAATTATGCATTATTGCATCATGCCGATGTCAATGGCCGAATAGCTAAGTCCGCAGAACAGTCAGTAATTCGTTTCAGGATCGGTTCCCGGCTGTTAAATGGTATTGTCGCAATTGAATTTTTTTTTATTTTCACAAATGGAAGAGATGACAGTAGCAGCTGTCGATTGGTCTGCGGAAATTTTGTAACGTAGCTCGATCGATCTGCATGGATTGATTGGTTTATGTAGCGAATGCACTGCGGCCACTGTGTTTAATTTTCAGTACAATGCTCAGTAACTTCTATGAAGCAACCTAAAGTTATAAAAAACGTATGAGAATATTATGTCCTTACGTAAATTACTTTTAATATTCTGAGTAAATTTAATCTACACCACAGGCTAAGCTGTGTCATTTAGTAGATTAAGCGTATTAAACGCATTTTCGACTTTCTACTTTTTAAACTTACTGAGGAGTTTCTCAGGACGAAACCTATTATATTCTGAGAACTCATTCATATATGTGCTTAGATAACATAACAGTTAAATACCTTTATCTAATTACTCACGTGTAGCACAGCTACCCTATTTTGCATATACATAATTGCATATAAATGGGTAGCTAGAAGTTTATATCTCTGGGACATGTATAGAGAGAAGTATTTACAAAATATCAATATTTCAGTAGACTCACTACTATGATCCAACAGCGCTTTATTGCCTACTAGCCGCTACGCGGCCAATCCTCTGTCTGGCTTTTAAATGTATCGGGAAAATGCCTAAAGAGAACACCATACATTAAATTTAAAAACGGCACAGAATTTTACTCTGCAGAACAACTTTATCAAACAAATCGAATAAAAATGTATTACATATAAAAACATTGCAATGAAATAAGCAATATCCCTTAATACAAATATTAATTATCCTAATAAATAAATTAATCAATCGACTTCTCTCGACAAACCTCCAGTATCCAAGAGAAACATTAAATTTAAAAACTGCACAGAATTATCGCCCTCATTTTTCCGAATGGCAACAGTGCTGATATCAGCAACAATGGCTGCGTACCATTGTTGCTGATATAATAAGAGAAAATTATCGATTTGATGCAATTTCATCAAAATAAATAAATAAATAAATAAATAAAATAAAATAAAATAAAATAAAATAATTCTCATTCGAATTTGGAAAACTCGCTTCGAGATACACTGGCTCTTGTATAGATGCACCTATGTACCAAATTTCGTAGCCTTAGGTCTATTATTTTCCGCGCAGCGCCAACGAAACACGCACACTCATACACACAGACTTTTCATTTTATATATAGATATAGATATGACTACTTGCTATATTTGTAAGCCCGAATTTAGTTAACTGCGAAAGGTATTGGTTATCGAGGTGTTTTCCCTAACCTAAGCATAAGTTAATATCTCTTAGAAATCTACCCATGAAGGTATTTCTCTTAGGGCAGATAAACCTTGACTGCTTTCTGGAATATATTAATCGCCCGGTTTAGGCTAGAATACCGTAAACATTTATTAATATTAAATACCACAGTGTGTTAATGTCATGTGAAATCTGAGCCCAACTAGTTTCAAAATTTTTTAACATTGGTATGTCCACCTATGTTCATATCCCCGCCAAAGAGTTATTAACGTGGACGTTTTCGTGTTTTTTCCCATACGGAACCTAAATACGAGGCACTTTTCCATAAAAATGTCCTCTATAAAAGCATCTCTGAGTTTAAGACAGATAGCCGTAGATGCTTTGGTGTAATACAAGCAGTCTAGTACAAGCTATGTAAACTCTTTTCCTAAATGTGTTGCTGATTAAGGTATCGTAAGCCTTAGTGACAAGGTTTAGAATACGTGCTTAACAAATTAACAAGCACGAAATGATAAGTTTAAAAATATTTTCTAATCGGTTCCTTTTTAAGAGTAAGTGTTTATCAAATGTCAATTATAAATACTTTATTTGGGGTGAGTTTATATCAGATCCTTTTTAATAAAAACTTTTGTCATTCAGAAATAATATAGCTAGTCTTTAAATTTCCTAACCAAGCGCATCATCATTTTGACTAACAAGAGAAAGACTTTCTGGACGCTGAAAGAATCCATGGCCGCTAAGAAAGAAAAAAAACCATTCAAACAAAACCAGATAGTTAAGGGAGGATAGAGAATTGCAATTTGTCTCCATCTTTTTCAGAGTTTGACCCGCATTTAAGTTGGAATAGCGTTCTGCTCCACGGCTCTTTTGGTATGAAGGCCATTGATGGGAATCGAAATTCCAATGGAGATCGAGCGGCTGTCCTTTTGAGTATTCTAATGAAGAACTGAATCCTGAGGATGTGTACAAACACGTTGCAAGACTAGCG